TAAAAGAGAGAGAGAGAAAAAAACAACTTTTCCATGTCTGCTCCAGAGATTGCACCTCAATGTTTAGTTGAACAAAGGCAGACTCTTTCCCCTAACGCCCCGAAGATATTACTCCAGCCTAAGATTCTTGGCATTTTCTGCTGGCCTTGCTTATTGGCAACCTTGTCTAGAAAGAATTCAAGTCCCCACCCCATGTTATCTGGCACAAAGCCTGCTGGGCGAGTCTTATCATCTTTGAATTGGGATCTTTCTTTTTCACCTGTCATCTTTTTTTCACCCACAGTTACTCCCTCCGAATTGCCTGGGCATGCTGAGCAACTATACATTATTTGCTTTACATTGATTGAACTCTTTGCTTACGCTTAACGCAAGTCAAGTCTGCAGCCAACGTTTGCTGCGAGAGGTTTTATCGTCTTTCTGTCGTCCCCAGTCCTCTTAACAGTGATCTAGCCTTTCATGGCTCTTAAGGATGGTCAGCCTTTTCTGGGTTGTTTTTAGGATCCCCTGCTAAAGAAAAAGTGGCTTCTTTAAATAATGATCATCATCATCATCATCATCTTAGAACTATAGAGCTGGAAGGGACCCTATGGATCATCGTGTCTACCCATGCTTTTAACTTCTTGCAGTGCCCTCAAGCAAACTATAGTCATTATGTTGGATGACTATATGTCATCCAGCATATCCAGAGGGCACCAGATGGGAGAAGAGAGTTCCAAATGTTCTGGAAAAAAATGCCCTTTGTGTTTGGAGATATTAAGAAAGTTTCCACAACCTTAAATGGCCATCTGCTCCCCCCCCCCCAGGAAAACTACTTATTGGATAGATCTCAAACTGTTGCAGACCCATATGGAGTTTTTTCCTTTATTGATGTGAAAATATTTGAATGAGATGCTAACGGCTATACTTCGAGCAAACTTCTGAACTCACCACCTTGAGTGAACTGCCGGATCGCTCAGTGGTTTAAGGCAAAGACTGGGAGTTCGATTCCCCTCCCCCCCCCCAGGAAAACTACTTATTGGATAGATCTCAAACTGTTGCAGACCCATATGGAGTTTTTTCTTTTATTGATGTGAAAATATTTGAATGAGATGCTAACGGCTATACTTCGAGCAAACTTCTGAACTCACCACCTTGAGTGAACTGCCGGATCGCTCAGTGGTTTAAGGCAAAGACTGGGAGTTCGATTCCCCTCTCCCACCTCCTTAACGGGGGCCAGACTTGATGATCTATAGGGTCCCTTCTAGCTCTGCACTTCTAAAATGTGGTTGATGATGATGATTATTAATCACTTCTTGTGACTCTTCTACAAAAGGAGGGCGCTTCCACCCTTGGTCAGCACACCCTGAATTTTCATGCTTCACAAAAGAGTCTGGAAAGTATTCAACAGACGCTAGAAAAACACAAGTCTATGTATTTGGGTTGAGTAAATAATTGACAGGTACGAGTCACTCAGAGGTGACTGCATAGGTATTTCAACAAAATCACAAGAGATACAGAATGTTCCGTCAGATGTATTCTGTTCAGTTGCCCACAATGAGCTGAACGGATTCAAGCGCCCCAGAAAGCTTTGTGCTTTATGAAAGAATCCTGGCTTTGAGGTGACAAGGCTTGTGACACCTGCCATAGATTACCCAACTGGGGTTTTCCGTCAGACATGCTCTTGACACAGACATAGAGACAATCTTGAAATTTTTGCAGTGGGTGGGAATCAAACCTCATAAAAGTTTGTTGTGGAGGGGAAATAATCACCGGATGAATAAACCAGTAGTGGGCTATCTAAGGCCCTTGATCCATCCGATGGTGGTCTCTGATTCTTTCCCACTAGATCATTCTAAAGTTGAACAGCGAGAAGGAAGAAATTGAAAGAGTGAAATATTTTGCATCTCTTGGTTCAATCCTCAATCCCAAAGGGAGAGTGCAGAGGGAGAAATCAGAAGAAGAGTAAAGACTTGGGAGGGCGACCCTGAAAGAATTAGAAAAGATCTCTGGAAGCAAAAATGGAGGCAGGCTTCTCTAGAAGAGACAATCATGCTGGAAAGGTTGAAGGCAGCAGGAAAAGAGGAAGACCAAAGACGAGATGGAGTGGGTCCCTAAAGGAAAACACAGGCTTGAGTTTACAGGGCTGTCGAGGAAAGGACATTTTGGTTATTATGGGATCACCGTAGGTCAAGAGCAACTTGACAGCTCATAACAGCAACAGGGCTTGTTAACGATTTTAACCAACCATTATAGCCTGGAGAAGTGGAATCCAAAAGACAAATGCAAAATGCAATAAAGTACAGTCGTGCCCCGCTTAACGATTGCCCCATATTATGACAAATCTGCTTTACGATGATGTTTTTGAGATCACAATTACGACCGCAAAACAATGACCTAAATGGGGGAATTTCACTTAGTGATGATCGGTTCCCTGCTTTGGGAACCAATTTTTGCTTTACGACGATCAAAAACAGCTGATTGTCGGGTTTTCAAAATGGCCACCGGGTGCTTAAAATGGCTCCCCACTGTGCTTAGGGACGGATTCCTCGCTATACAGGCACTGAAAATGGCCACCATATAGAGGATCTTCTCAGGACGGTGAGTTTTTAGCCCATTGGAATGCATTGAACGGTTTTCAATGCGTTTCAATGGGCTTTTAAATTTTGCTTCATGATGTTTTCGCTTAACAGCGATTTTCCTCTAACGGATTATCGTCATTAAGCGAGGCACCACTGTAGTCAATAAATGTATTCAAACTTAGCAAACAGACAGAAAGCCAGCCACTTAACAAAAGGAACAGTGGTTTAGAAGAAGCCAAAGGAAAAGCGAATACATGTGGGTTAATTTCCATTTTGTCCCTTCACATCATGACAGCCTCCCAGTCATCAAGTCAGAAAGAATCTTCTCCAATCAAGAGAAGAGGTGGTTCCCCAAATTACAAGCCTGACAAAAAACACATAAGCACTTTTAAGGGTTCAAGAAGATTTGAAAAAGGTGTGTGGGCATTAGTTATAATCTGAGAAACAGCTTGCATTCTTGAGGCCTTTTCCCCCCGTTTACTCACATCAAAAGTTTCCTGTTAACAGGAAAAGGATATTTAGTCGATGTTCCAGAGGGGCCCCAGCTTCACCGGGAGTTGTTTATTATTATTATTATTATTATTATTATTATTATTATTATTATTATTATTATTATTATTATTATTATTATTATTATTATTATATTATTATTATTATTATTAAAACCTTCCTAAGAATATGAAACTTAGAGCCAAATATACAAGAATATTACAAGGTAGAGAAACAACCCATAGCATACCAGGGTTCAGGGGGAGCTAAAGTCCGAACTGGCAGGTCCCCCGTTGCCCACCCTGACATCAAGTGCTGAAGACTAATATCATCCTAAAACAATGTAAGAGGACGCCTCATACTGGCTGAAATCAAGTTGCAAAGTCACAACTAGAGGAGACCCATTGAATCAATGGAACTTGCATAGGTTTTGACTTATCAAACCTTTCCTGAGTCAATGGACCTAATGTAGCTGGACTTACTATCCTGATTCAATCGTTGGTGCCTCTAGTATTTTGATCTCATTATTTCATCTCATCATTTACAGGCAGCAGGGATTCTGGGAATTGTAGTCCAGGCTTCTAGACTGGAGAAGGCTGGTCCGCCCTACCGGGTGATGCCTCTCCAGGGTTTGGGCCAGGAATCTGTTACCAACTCCACATGGAAATGGCCATGACACAAGAGGAGACGCTTTTCACACACAACATAGGTTTCTATCATCAGTTTTGCTGCCTAAGGCAGAGCGGCAAACGGTACCGACCCGGTCTGAGTCAAGGGAGACAGAAAAAGGTGGCTCAAAATCCCACTATTGCTGGGACGATGAGATCCAGATCAGACCCTTCAAGACCCAGCAGGTGAGAACTTCACAGTGGAGGCTTATGAACAGCCTACTTAATCTATCTTGAGAAAGGAACAGAACACCAGTATAATGGAGGTGTCCATTCGCCACACTTAGGCTTCTGCACTTGTTTCTAGATACGCCCTCTCGGTTGTTAGCTATTCAACAGATGCTGAGAATTATTTTTTTTAAATCGTCCAACTTATCTCCTGATAAGTCAGGATAGCTCAGGGGTTTAGGTATCTGGCTATGGACCTGCCAGAGGTTGTACTTAGACCCAGCCTGGGTGGCCTTGGGACAGCTGCACAGTCCCAGAGCGCCCCTAGAGGAAGGGAAGGGCAAAGCACTTCTAACTATTCTCTAAAACCCTGAAAAAGGGTCGCCATAAATCAGAATGGATGGCTCATGAGATATGGAAGAAGGACTGGGAAAATACAGGGGGAGGATGAAACAGAAGAGGATGGTTATCTCTCTCCCCGTATAATCCTGCGAGTAAGGGGCACCGTATAATCAAAGTCTCTCCCGCAAACCCTTCAAGGATCCTTTCCACCCCCTTCCCAGAGATTTGGGAATTCAACTCTCAGATCTCGTGGCAGGGACGTGCAGGGAAGAGGGCTCGAGAACTCCTTCAGCGAAACAGCACCGCATGAAGCCTGACGTTTGTTTTCCTTGGCGAGCGCGGATGAAAGCCAGCAGGGAGGCGCGACGGCCGCCCTTGGGAGGCTCAGCGCTCCGGAAGGCTGGCTGCGCGCCTGGACGCCGGCCCGGCCCGGCGGAGCCTCTCCCCGGGCGAGTTGGCCAGCGGCCAGGCCGGCCTGGGAGTTGTAGTCCCCCGGCGGCGGGGGTTTCAGGAGGGGGGAAAGAGTACCCGGCCTCCCACAGCGGCGCCTCCACCCACTAGGCATGCCTGCTTCCCGATCTCTCTGGAGAGAGGAAAGCCAGCCGGCCGCCCTTTCTCCGCGATCCCCCACCTTCCCCTCCTTGAACGGCGAGATCTCTCCCGGTCCTCCACCTCGGACAAGGGCTGCGCACCCCTCCCCCGCTTGCCCCTTCTTCGCCCCCTCCCTTCCTCACCTTCGTCGTGCTTGGACCTCCGCAACTCCCCGGCCACTCACCCGGAGCGCCTGGCGTGGGGCTTGCTTCGCTCTCGCTCGCTGGCCGGCCTCTGTCCGGAATGCTGCCCGTCCCGTCGCGGCCGGCCTAGGAGGAAGGGGGGGCGGGGCCAAGGGGGCCCTTATTTGCATGACACCTGCACGCGACCGGGGATGGCTTTTATAAAAGGACGGCGCCCGCCGCTGGGCGCCCGCGTTCGTCTTCTTCGCTGCTCGCCTCCGGCGTCGCGTGCAGGTAGCCCAGCCGGTAAGTGCGCGTCCCCGGGCGCCGACGGACGAGGCTGCCTTCTTTTTCCCGTCGAGATTCTCTTCTAGATAGACTGAAGTTCTGTAAACTTTTTTTTTTTAGGACCAGTTTCCAAGTTTTGATAATTTGGGTCCGAAGCAGGGCAAAAAAATTATCTTTTTAAATTCCTATTGTTTCCCGTCTGATCTCATCAGAAGGGATCCCTTCGCTGGGAGCGATCTCCCTGGGGAATCTCTCCTGCCCAGCCTCAGGAACCAAGAAAAGTCCCTCTTGGGCAGGGATCAGGATGAGGCTGATCAGGGTCCGACCCGTCCAAAATACCAGCTATTTCCCTCTTCGTGAGTCTTGCCCAGCCACGGGGCGGAGAGATGGCGCTTTCCTGAGCGTGCACAGAGTGCTCCCGTCTCTCTTCGTTACTAGTAGAGGGGGCGGTTGAGGCGGCATGGCGTGTGTCCCCCGTCGATTTATGTCCCGGGACTTTTTCTTCTCAAAACGGGGCTCTTACCCCCTGGGAAAAAAACGTTTCCACGACGGTGCGAGGTAAATGGAAACCGGGCGAAGGAGAGAGAGGAGGGAAAAGGAGCGCCCCGGGGTTACCCGCGGAAGAGCTCCGGCGGCGGGGTTTCCTCTTGCAGAAACCTGCGCTCCCCTCGGGGCAGAGTCTTCCAGGAAGTCGAAAAGGGAGGGAAAACTGCGGGGAGCCTGGCCGGGGGAAAAAAAAAAGGATGATAAAGCAGGTGTGTTTCTTCCCTTGGTGGTTTCCCCGGCTGTCAGGCTTGAGCGCTACTAATGAATTAATTTTTATTTTTATTTGCCGTCGTCTTAAATAGCAAATAAAACCCAGCGTGCAGGGAGGGAAAGGGTTTCGCTTGCCTCTAGTTAGCGCCGGGAAAGGCGCTTTCCTGGCCGCACTATTCGGTCTTCCGCGCTTCTCTGCGCTGCGCGGTGATTTCTGTCCAAATCCTCTCTCTGATTTCGAAAGATGCGTTTGCACGTTCAAGAGAATCTGAAAAAGGGGCGTCTAGACTTTCAGGATGAAATCCGGCCGGAGATTCTGGGAACTTTCGTCCAAAAAAAGAGTAACGTTTTCAAGCTTTGATTTCCGTAGCATCGCCGTTAATTGATGCTGGCAAAATTAAAGGGGGGAAGAGAAGAAGAGAAAAGAGAAAGACGGAACAGTCCCTAAAGGTTTCCCGCGGGAGTTTTCCTGGATCAGCATCCACTTCCTCCTCGGACACGCGTGGATCCAGGAAAACTCGCACGTTGAGACGCATCTGTTAGCTTTGAGAGATTTCCACACACTCCCCTTTTAAAATGTTTAATTTTTCCCCATTTAATTTTGCCGATATGCCGAAACAAGGCTTTTAACACGGTGTCGGCTACCTCTCTGGAAACTCTTGTCAATTCAGATGGAGCGCGCCATCTGAATCCGGAGTCGCTCCGGGAAACCTTCGGGGTCTCATCGTCTTGGGAATTCTGGCGTTTGGTTCCCGGTTCCTCGTTTGCAAGATGTTGGGGTCCTGATTAGAGGAGACCCCTCGGGTGGCAGAATGCGCTCGATTTGACATCACCTGGTCCGTACAAAAAGCTGTGCAAAGACCAGCGGTCCTCAATGCTGTTGAGACGGACTCCCTCCGTTGAGGACAGAACCTTTGAGAGATCGCTCCTTCATGGGGTCCTCATAAGGAATTATAGGAACCCCCCCAAAAAAACTAACAATCACGATTTGAGTCCATGAAGGCCTTTTTAAAAGTTAAAATACTTTTTAGTGTTTATTTACTTGCTTTTAATTATTCGATAGTATTTTAATTAGCAAATTGTGGTTTTTTTAAAGATTTAATTTATTGTGTTTTAAATTCTGTCCTTTTTAATATTGGGAGCCGCCTTGGGTTTTCTTATTTATAAAGAAATAAAACAAATATCAATAAAACAAATACTAAATAAACGCTCAGCCTTGTTAAAAGGGCACTTTAATAACATTCCCTATGGAGAAAGGATATGTCCCTGTGAGGAAGAATCAGAGATTCATGTGTTAAGAATCACAGATTCATGCCTCGGTACACACCATTCTAGAATGCAGCTTATACAGGTTCGAGCGAACGTATCCTCTTTCTCTCTACACCTAATAATGTGTAAATTGTACTAGTAAATCTCCCACAGACGATCTGAAGTTTCTTCTGTTGGGAGAGAACCAATTAATACTACAGTCAGTGGCTAAGTTTTTATTCTCAGTTTTAAGAATTCGTAAAATGTTATATTAAGACAACCACCTGACTTAAGTTTTATACTGTCGATATGTTACAACAACTTACTTATTATTTTTATATCTTGTATTATGTTCTATCTTTGAATTTTCGGGTCTATGACCGTATAATAAAACTTAATGAACTTATCTACTAAACAAACGAATAAGTTGCAGGCAACTTGATGTCATGCCAGGCTTCTCACATCCCACGGCTCTATCAGCACGAAAGGCCGACAGCGAGAACAGTGCAGGTTTTGCCAAGCTCATGATTTTGCTCTCTGTTCCCTCTCTGGTCCTGCAGATCCTTCATCACCTCCGCCACCATGACGCTCTTCAACGGCATCTATCCCTTCTACCCCCAGGAGAGGAAACCCTTTGTGTTTGATGTGAGCCTCATCATCGTCATCGTAGTCTTCTTGGTCTTTGCTGTCAGCTTCTTGTTGATCTTGCCTGGGATTCGGGGCAGAGCGGTGAGTCTCCTTGAGCATCCTCGCAGGGTTGTTGTGAGGACAGATATGTATATTGTGAAGACATGTATACTTGGACTTTGCACGTTGTGCTACATGCATCAGAGGAAGTGGGTGGTGTGTTCACAAAAGCTTATGCAAGAATAAATTTGCTAGCTCTAAAGATGCTGAAGGACTCTTTGTTATTTGATGTCTTAAAGCAGTGGTCCCCAAACTTGGACCTCCAGATGTTCTTGGACTTCAGCTCCCAGAAATCCTGGCCGGCAGAGGTGGCGGTGAAAAGGCTTCTGGGAGTGGCACACCAAGAACATCTGGAGGCCCACGGTTGGGGACCACTGTCTTAAAGAGTTCGCTTTATGTTTGTGTTGTTAAAAATTCGGGGAGTCAGCTGGGTCATTTAGTGTGGAGGAATGTTAAGTTGCCCCTTCTGGTGGTGACTCTCTGATTTCTCTCGTTGACAGAGGCTGTACTGGCTCTTTCGGGTCATCATAAGCCTTTTTATTGGAGGCGTGATTGTCGGTAAGTAACTCCCTCCCCATCCTCACTTAACTCTGAGGAAACGTCCAGGCATTTCCAAACTGTTGCCTGCCATAAAAGGGGATGGTCCCTTGTCCATGCCACTAATGATGCTGAGTGAGAGGACAGTCTCATGACATTTTACTGCGCAGGGTTGGAATAGCAGCTGCCTCCACCCGCCCTCTACATCACCAAACGCCGGGCAAATTATCCTGGCCCAGGAGGCATAAAACCCCTCAAGCAATCTCGCTTATGGCTAGTTTATGTTTGATAAACAATGATAAACAGTGATAAACATATACCAGTTAACACGTGAATCGCTGACAACTTCCTGCCTTGCCATGGCCTGCCAGACCTGCCACTTTGGCTAGTGGAAGAGCCGGCCCCACAGAGCAACCAAAGGATTTCTGGAAATTTATGAGTTTGCCTGTCCGCCCCTGAACCCATGCCCTTAACATTTCTGAAGAAATTGAGTCAGGGAGTCCACAGTGAAGAGCGAGACAGAAATACGTAGATATTCTCAGTCATAAAAAAAAGGGGGGGGGTTCTTAGGAAAGGGTTGATCTGGATCTTATCTAAAAAAGACCAGCCAGCTGGTCCATGGCTTACCCTCACATAGAGTTTCTCCATCTTTCAGCTGTTAACTTTACCTCTGACTGGGAGCGTGCACAAGTGAGAGCCAACACCACCTATAAGTCCTTCAGCTCTGCTCTGGTGCATGTGGATGTTGGGCTGAAGGTCGGTTTGTCAGGAGTCAACATCACGCTGCTTGGTAAGTCTGCAGGGTGGAAGTGGGAGGGGCAAGTTTGTGTTTGGGATATCCCACGAAACCAGCCTCTCCCAATTTAATGGTCTCCAGATGGGTTGGACTACAACTCCCGGGAGGGGCATGTTTGTGTTTCGATATCCCGCTAAACCAGCTTCTCCCAATCTAGTGGTCTCCAGATGGGTTGGACTACAACTCCCATCTCTCCAACCAGCACAACCAACGGCAGTGCTGGCTGAGGATGATGAGAGTTGTTACCCAAAGCATGTGGAAGATGCCAGGATGGCAAAGGCTTAATTAACTTGTAGAGCTACAGTGGGATGTCAAACAAATGGACAAACCATTGTTTAGTGTGACATACATGAGCTGGAACAAGCCACAATATGTCATGGGCTTATTTCCTCTCTTCCCCGTCTTCTCATCCAATGAGGCCATGAGGAGGATTTTGGAGTCTTCTGCCTCTGGTATTGTTTAACCATAGTTTGCCATCTTGTCCGAACTGACAAACCATGGTTAATGTTAACTGGGAAATAAGCCAACATGAAACCACCATGAGAAGAAACCACAGTAGATTCCTAGCTCGCGAGTGAGTTAATAGTCTATTCTCTTGGGTTATTGCTCTTTCTTGAGCGCTCTTTACCCCTGAATGTTAACCAGGAATCTTGGCTTTGCAGGAAATCCTGTGGAGCAGCTCAACGAAACGATCAATTACAACGAGTACTTTCCCTGGTTGTTTGGCAATGACTATAACCTACAGTATGACAAGGGCTTGCGACAGGGTCTGCCCCATCCTATCCTCTACGTGGCGGAGAAGTTCAGTACCTACAACCCTTGCGACTTGAATTCCTTCTACAGGATTGCAGGGCACTACGCCTCGGCCACGCTCTGGTGAGTGAGCCCATGCTGCTTTTCATAACAGAGGCTGGAATGAGGAGGAATTCTAAGAGAATGACTGGGCTCTGTGGGATGCAGAGGATGTGGATTTCAGAGGATCATGGGCGGTTAGATTAGAAGAGATGTTGGAGACCACAGGAGGCCCTAGTCCTGAATTGTTGGCCATCCAGATGATCTGGACTTCAACGGTCAGAAAACCCTTGACCACCGGCTGTGTTGGCTGGAGTTTCAGCGAGCTGAAGTCCAAAATAGTTGAGTGACCAAAGGCTGAGGGGAACGGATCTAGTCCAACCTGCTGCTCAGTGCAGGTGTCTTGCAGGTGGGGCTTTCCTGACCAATGGCTGTTCAAACTTCTGCTTGCCTTCATCCAGTAAAGGAGAGTCCTCCTCAAAGAGGCTCTTCCCTTGTCAAGCAGCTCTTACTGTTAGGGAAAGGGCTTTGCTCTAGAGGAGGAATGGGGAACCGTTGACCTTCTGGATTTTGGACTACAATGCCCGGAATACCTCACCAGCAAGTCTGCCAGGTGGGTCTCCTCGAAGCGGAAGTCCAGAATGTCCAGTGAGCCGAAGGGTCCCCATCCCTGCTCTAGAAAGACTGCAGGGAGAATAACGGGCATCCCATTTCTGTGGTTGGCCAAGAGCATGAGGGACCAAATTGACGTCTAAGGCAAGGGCAATACTTTGACCCCCATCTCCTGTGAAGACGGTCATCAGCCTGGATGCCATGTGACGTCTCTAGACAAGAACACAAATCAAGAACTGCTCCATCCCCACTACTGGAATTGCACGGTCTCAGTTGCTTTGTGTGACTGTCCTCATTGATCTGCTCCAGTGTCACCCATGCTTTCCAGTGGCTCAAAAGTGACCAGCGGTGGTGACTTGGCCGTTGGTAGGCCTCGGAAGGAACAAAGCCCCATACATCCCGTCAGGTTTCCCTGGGTCAGGCTTGTCTACTCAGACTGGCAGTAGCTGACGAGGAACTCAGGCTGATAGGACCTTTTCCCTCTTTACAGTCATGAGGACTAGATACTTGGCCTGAGGGCCTTTCCAGGGGCTGATAGAATAAGTTCTACCAATGGACTGTGATAAACAGGGGAGATTTTCCCTTTCCTCCTGCAGGGTGGCCTTCTGTGCCTGGCTCGTCTCCAACATGCTGTTTTCCATGCCGGTCCCCGTGTACGGGGGCTACATGATCCTCATTACGGGGGCTTTCTTGATCTTTGCCCTCCTGTCCTTCTCTACGGTGAGGAGCGCTCCGACGTGCGTCATCCAGTTTGGCGATGCCTCCCTGCGGCCGGTCTACGGGGCATCGTTCTGGCTCACGCTCGCTGCAGGTTAGGATCTTTTACCTCGCTTTTCCTGTAAGGAGCTCCAAGTGGCGCGTGGGGTTCCCCCATCCCAAAACGGTCTCTCAAATTAGCTGCACTTTTCAATGCTCAAAGTGGCACTGAGTCCCTTGGACCAACTTTCTACTTTCTGAGGGCAGGTAGGCATTGTAGTCTAACATATAGCTAAAGGGTACCATGCTGAGGATGCCTAGCCTAGAACAATGGTAGGAGGCTATGAGGAATTGCAAAAAAGCAAAGGGCCTGAATATACATTATAGATTGCCCTTATTAGAAAAGTGAATTCGTTAAGCGCTGACAGTGCCTGACTGTCACAGCAGAAGCTTTTCTTACCTCTGGTGGTTTGCAAAATCTTTGCTGATCCAATACGGGGATAATGGGCTTTGTGTTGGCCTTAAGCTTGCAGCTTCCTCTCAAAGGACACAGAAGTAACTTTTTGGGTTTATAGCTCCCAGAATCTCTCAGAAACCAGGCCGGCTGGGGAATTCTGGAAGCCCCAGTTAGATCAAGCCACCTTCCTAAGCTCTGGACTTACATCAGGGTGGGGAGGTTTTAGCCTCCAACTCCTAGCAAACCTGCTCGCCGTGAGCCATAGAAAAGAATAACGTCAGGTGTACTCTGAGTTGTCCTCAGAGGTTCTCAGTTGCTAACTAACATCATTGGATACTTGCTTAGGCTGGGGGAAGAAAAACAAGATTTAAAAAAATTGGAAGTGGCAGCCATATTCTCATTCCCATCAGCCTCATCCCTGTGACTCACGGTCAGCAGGGACAGAATTGTGATCTAAGGTCTGGGAGAGCCATGATTTCTCTTCCCCTGTTGCAAAGATTTCTGAGAAATCTATGTGATTCGGATGGGCTTTTAATCACTGTGTTTTAATTAAACAACTTCAAAATGTTTGATTGGTGGTCAGCCCTAGCAGAAGAACAAATGTTTAACAAAAGGAGATCCTAATCATTTTCAAATAATATATATAAATTATGTCAAACATCATGAGATGACAGAGCAAACAAGGCAGAAATCTCTCTGTACTGTGCTGCTCAGTATTGGCATAAAAATAACATCTTCCCTCATTCCATTTTTTTCCAGTCTTTTTCCCACATGAGATCTAATGATAATGCGGTGTCCTAGTGCAATAATGTCAGTTCATAGCACTACGCTGATAGTTTTCACTTCAATGGCCTAGTGGTGCAAACCAGCACCATGCAGAAGATTTCTCCCTGGAGAAATTCTGACCATTCTCATTCAATCCGAGAGAAGGGTGCTCTTCTTAGTCTCTTAGACACACAAGGCTGTGTTGAGGAATTGCTTCAGACTGTTTTTTTTTACGTGTTTTGCCCCCTTGACTACTGCTGTTATGAATCTAGGTATTTTTTCTTAGCAGGGACATGGACTTCAATCTCGAAAACGGCTCCGTGTTGCTTTAGGTACTGGCTCTGGGACGGATGCTCAGCACCTGGGGCTTGAAAGCCAACATAAGCTTTAGCTGCTGATTCTGCCTGAAGGTTTTGCTAGAATCTGGAGAACAATGAAAAGGCCCTCCTTCCCCAGTATATTGTAAGACTACCAGCCGTGGGAAAAGACCAGCACTGTTAGAAGCTCAGCCTCTGCTAAAAGGGGACCGGCTTAAAAAGAAGGCGTCGTTGGAGTTGGAGCTATCAAGAAGGGTGGAATTCCGAGCGCCCTGCTGGCCAGGGCTGCAAAGTGGCAGAAAAGAATGATCGTCATGCTGCGTCTCAGATCGGAAATGGAGAAATTCACTGCTGGGTAGCTCAGCAGTTTAGGCATCTGGCTGCAGAGCCCGAAATGGGGAGTTCGGTTCCTCTGCTGTGCCTCATTGACAGGGGCTGAACATGATGATCTATGAGATCCCTTCCAGCTCTGCGGGTCTAAGATTGAATGTGCTTCTGTGCATGCACCAACTGCCGTGTTCCTACAAGGAACGGTCGAAGTTGGAAAAGGTAGTTCAGTTTCCCCGGCTCTTTTGCTCCAGTCAAGACCTCCCCGTTCATCCTAAAGCTTCCAGTTCTGGTTTTCTAGCCAGTGTATCCTGAAATCTTGCTGTGCGACTTAAAATTGTAATAGAATTTACTATGCCAAAGCAGTTAAGATCCCTGAGCGAGGAGCACTGGGGCATATTTATGGGAACGGTGCAATAGTTTGATGCATATTTGCACCTGGTATAAGGTCGACAAAGGTCAAACTCTAGTGCTTTGTTGAGGTTATTGCTGCTGTGAGAGGAACAACTGTCATATTCTAGAGTTCTGTCAGTCACTCCTGAAATCTTGCTGTGCGTCTTAAAATTGTAATAGAACTTACTATGCCAAAGCAGTTAAGGTCCCATAAATCTGAGTGAGGAGCACTGGGGCATATTTATGGGAATGGTGCAATGGTTTGATGCATATTTGTACCTGGTATAAGGTCGACAAAGGTCAAACTCTAGTGCTTTGTTGAGGTTATTGCTGCTGTGAGAGGAACAACTGTCATATTCTAGAGTTCTGTCAGTCAAATTTGCTTTGTGGAAAACTGAGCTTTTAAGGGCATTCTGGAGAGTGAGGGGTGATCCCAACCTCCTAGGATCTCCTCTTCCAATTCTGTGATGCAGTAGAGGGTTTTTATGGCACGTGAAGGCATCGGCTATAATAATTTAAGCTTGCAGCTTAAATTATTATTATGCAGCTGATCTCGTCTCCCAGGAGAACATCCTTCTTTGTTGTCCTCAGGAATTCAAGTGTGCAAAGGCCCATTTCTCGGTTACGTAGGGTGCAAATGAATGACGAGGAAAAGTTGTGTTTGATTGCCCCGGAAAGGGGCTCTTTGCTGGGTGTCGTCTCCCTTAAAGCCACCCTTCCATCCACTAGGGAATCGCTCCAACACGGCCCCCCTCGAAAGTAGCAGCCGTCTTGTAGGACCAAAAAGGTCCAGCTTGGGCATGGATCGGGGCCAGGCTGCAGTGCGATTCCCTGTAGGTTGTGTGATCACCAGGGGAATAGCTTGAACCGGACTGCGCCACCAGCAGTCCGAAACACGAGTGATAGAACTGTGCAATCAAAGCTTTAGTCTCAGCTTCTGTTCATAGGATGTCTTGGGGAGACGTAGTTCATTTTGAACGTCCCTCCTTGTGGCTGCACCCTCATCATCAAAAAATGGAGTAAGGTGGAGCCTTAGATTTAGCAGTGTCCGTTCTTTAGGCTTCAGTCCCATTTGTGCTTACCTGTGTCCGATCCTCACCACATCTCAGAGAGAAAACTTCAGCAGTGGAGGGTTTGGGGAAACAAATAAGGCTTTTCTTTCTCTTTACATCTCCAGGGAGGTGAACAAAGTGTTATTGGATGTTGCAGTTCACTCGCTAACGTATTTTTTAAAAATATATTTTTGTAATGTATTTTAAATGGTTTTTATCTGTCTCGTGTCTATTTTTGGATGTTCGTTATGTGTTATGCCGTTTGATTATTGTTCTGTTTGTGCCTTGTAAACCAGACAGAGTGGCCTTCGGCTAGTTGGGTATAGTATATTACTGTGAGTAAGTAAGTAAGTAAGTAAGTAAGTATAAATGTTTGTTTTTTGTTTTAACAAAAAGGTGGGGAGGAAAACAATTTGAGTGTTCTTGACCAGTAGTGATGGGGAGATGAAGTTGAGGAGAAATATTATATGCTGGTGTACATTAGTTACTGTTTTATTATTTTTTGTTTCATATTTCATGTGCAATGATTTTTTTTAAAAAAAACACACAAACAGAATTTCATGGTCTTCCCTTCTGAGCAATCAGAGCTTGGAAAAGTTACTGTTTTAACTACAATTCCCAGAATCCCTCAGACAGCATAAGTCCGAATTGACTTGACAGCACATGATCATGATGATTTGACATGCCAGATGTTTTTTTAACTTCAATTTCCAGGAGCACATGCACGCACACCTTGACAGCATGTGATCATGATGATTTGACATGCCAGATTTTTTTTATGTCAATTTCCAGGAGCACATGCACGCACACCCCGCATGGCCAAAGGTCAGGGATTCTTGGAACGGAAGTCTGGTTAATCTGTAAGGTGAGGTAGCCATCTCCAGTAGATGATGATGATGATAGGCAGGCTTCAATGTCAGTCCTCCAGATGTTCCTCTGGAGTGTGATCATGATGATTTGACATGCCAGATTTTTTTTATGTCAATTTCCAGGAGCACATGCACGCACACCCCGCATGGCCAAAGGTCAGGGATTCTTGGAACGGAAGTCTGGTTAATCTGTAAGGTGAGGTAGCCATCTCCAGTAGATGATGATGATGATAGGCAGGCTTCAATGTCAGTCCTCCAGATGTTCCTCTGGAGCCCTTTAGTTTCCTTTCAGGTCCTGTGAAGGATACTATCCTATCCCCAGATCCACCCACAATGGCCCACAATGGCCCACTCTGCCTGGGCTGCTGCGAAGTCCCCGTGACACCCTCCCTGGAGGTTTTGCCTCCCTCGTTCCCCACACACCACAATCAGGGCTATTAACAGCTTAAAACAGGCCATCTTGAAGACCATCACCACCCACAGGCCTGGCCCCAAACATTCTGTGGCCTGAAGCCAAGGACAAAGAGGGCACCTCCATCATCCCACATAGGAAAACGGACTTTTTATCTCAACAGTAGAGATAAAAAGGCCTCTCTTTTTGCACCTGGGCATAGGGGAGTTTAGGGGCAAACCCAACGGGTCATATGGTGGTGCACATGGTGCGATCCATGCTTTACTCCTGGGCATCAACTGCTTGAAGTGTCTGCTTCACCCAACCCTATGGTAGCAGGCTGGATAGCACAGTGGTTTAGGTATCTGGCTGCAGAGCCAGAAGTTGGGAGTTCAGTTCCCGCTGGGTCTCCTAGAACAGTGGTCCCCAACCTTGGGCCTCCAGATGTTCTTGGACTACAACTTCCAGAAGCCTTCACCACCACCTCTGCTGGCCGAGACTTCTGGGAGCTGAAGTTCAAGAACCTCTGGAGGCCCAAGGTTGGGGACC